ACAATATTTATAAATGAACAGGCACGTACAGGCTCCTGAAGGACACCAACTGACAATCTGACATGACAGCGCAGCAGGGAGATTTAAATATTTCAATTAAAACACAGGACAAAAGTCTAACATTGACGACTGAAATAATCTTATCGTCTTTCCAATCAGATCAATGTTTCAAACGTTCTATTTTGGTAGAAGAAGGAGGGTTTAACGTCATTTTAATGTAAATAAAAATGAGAAGATAAAATGGAAATCCCTCTAAGAGATAAAGGAGTGCTTCCAAGACCAACAAGCTAGCGCTGTGAAACACGCATCAGAGACAAAACAGAGCCAAGCCCGATGGAAAGCTGGGTCCGGGAAGACCGTTTCGCGGCACGGACACGGGCACTGCACCTCCAAGGCGTTAAAGTGAGAGACGACTTCCTTCTCGCAATCCTCCTTCTCCCGGGTCAGGCGCTCCACCGTGCGCTGGAGATGGCTGCCGGCCAGCTGGAGCTGCTGCTCTCGGTAGCTCATTTCATTGAGCTCGTGCTCCAGTGCAGCCTGGGAGCAAAGGACAAGGCGGGTCTAGTCTGTGCCCTCCACTCACCACAGGTTCGCATTAACTCACGATCTTACAGACGCGCCTGTCACACAGCTAACAGGAGTTCTGGTGTGTGTTCCTCACAGGACACCCCATATACTTACTTGTGGCTCATTCACTCTCCTAGTCTATACAATAAAAACTAAACCTTCCAACTATTATTTTGCTAAGTATTACTTATCACGGAAAACATGGCCACTCTCGGTCATCAAAAACAGCTCTCTTTTCCGCTCACTTTGCTTTAACGGTCATCAGTCTTTTTTAAAGACACAATATGGAGAACATGGAATATTTCCTGCAAGGATAGTCTGTTCACTCTTCTTTCTGATCCTAACTTTCATAATCATAAAGCCAGTGCCTGCAAGAACAGTTACAGATTAGAGGTGGCCATTCGGCCTGTCTTATTCATTTGGCTTCTCGACGTTTATTGATCCCAAGACCTCCTCCATCTTGTTCTTGAAGGGTTCCAAGTAATCTGCTGCAACAGTACTGCTGGACACTAATCCTGTTGATCCACTGAACAGATTTCACAGCAGTATTCTCTTGTTGCAAAATGATCAGAACTGTACAGAGTTTTTTTAAAAAAGGCCAATCGAATGCATTTTAACAATGTCTCTTGGACTTTTTTTTCCTCTATTAAAATATGTTCCACTACAGGATATACTGCTATTGATAAATCTTAGAAATATCAAGAAATACTTGTAAAGCCCTAACTATCAAATTAACTTTCTTTTGAACGTTCAGCAGAGCTCTAAACCTCCATCCCGCTACTGAAGCAGGCAGTGATTGTGGGTGCAGAGGAGTGCTGGGATGACTGTGGTTAACTGTGTGGAATACGCCCACCTTGGCGGTCTCTAACTCGGCCTTCTCCATCTGCAGCTCCATCATCTCCGAGGACAGTGTCTCCTGGGAGCGCTCCGCCATCATCCTCAGCTCCTCGGTCTTGCTGCTCAGAGCCTCCGCCTGCAGCTCCAGCTTGTGTCTCAGCTGCCTCTCAGAGAGCCGCGCCTCGTCCAGCTCGGCCTTCATCTTCTCCAGCTGTTCACGGGACAGAGCCACACTGAGACAGCAAGACTACACGCCACATCGGTAAAGCGCAGTAGTGCCTGCTGGGGAAATCACTGTAGGTCCACTTCAAGCTTAGAACATCAGAATCCCAATTCACCCAAGTATGGCCAAAACCTGTCTTTTTCGATCATCTAGGTGTGTAAAAGGCGACCCCCTTATCTCTTACTGAATCAGAGGTTGAACGGCTGCACCACGCAAAATAACACCAAAAAAGTAACAGAATTCAGAATAATAAAATGACTTTTTTGTGCAGCTGCAGCAAATGAGACGGGCTGTGTGAGACCCTGCCCCACCGCTGAGCGGCTCTGGGCGACTCGCCCGCAGCCTTACCTTGTTCTTGTATTCACCGATCTCCAGGGTGTAGCTCCTCTCCAGCTGGGCCTCCTGTTGCACCCACAACATCTTCTGCTGCGTTTTGATGGATTCGCACTCTGACCTCAGACTGTCCAGCATGCGGCCCCTCAGCTCGAGCTCTCTCTGCAAGGAGTACTTCTCCTGCTCCAGAGCCTGCATTCACACACACACACAAACACACACGTTAGACCAGCGCGCCATTCCAAGCTGCTAGAACAGTCCACCAATAACCATGACCTACTGAAAAACCTGAACAGAGCTGGGTTCAGGGCAGAGACAGTAGATGGTACCAAGGTTCCTGTGTTCTGACACAGGCTGGACCTGACACCTGTGGTGGGGAAAATAATTCTCAGGCCACAGGAACACAGAAACCTTCTCCTTCATTCACTGCGGCTACCACAGAGGCAACTGCACTGACTTTCCCTCCCCAGAATTCACTTGGCCAGATAACTACCCAGCAAACTGCCTCCAAACCTGAGAGTTTGCAATGCGCTGCAGCTAACACAGTAGGACAGGACAAAAACAAGACACGAGTTCCCTGCAGCTCACATCAATTTCTTGTTTGCCTCGATTTGTACTAATGCTATACTCACGAAGGCAGGTAAGGGGGTGATCTACCAATCGTCCAGCTTCTTTGACCTACCCTCTGTCTTCTCAAGCCAATATTCTTCTTTCTGCGCGGGTGGGTCTCACAAGACCCCTCCTTCCTTGTCCGGACGGCGCAGCTGAGCCCAGTCCGGGCCTCCTGCACCGCCTCTGACTCACCTCTATGGAGTTCGTCATCTCCGTGCGCTGCTCCTCCAAGCGGTTCTGCAGATCCAGCTGATCGTCCAGCAGCTGCAGGCCATACTGGGCTGCCTTCTGCAGGGACTCCTCCGCCTCCTTCAGCTTGCAGCGCAGGCGCTGGACTTCAGAGTCCACTGCAGCGGACATCTTCTGTCTGTAAGGACGGGAGACACAGGCTGAGGGGATGCGTTCTATCTGCTAGGACGGGAGGAACACGGGCTGATGAGACTCGTTCTGTCTGTAAGGACAGGAGACATGAGCTGAGGAGACCCGTTGTGTGTGTGTGAGGATAGGACACAC